GAATGGATGGTAGGACCAGACTTTGGGGACAGCAACAGAGCAGAGGGCTTCCCCCCAGGCCACATAGCAGGAAACAGCTGCAGAGAAGCAGGAAAAGCAGAAGTCGTTCCCCCAAAAGCACCCTCCAGGGCTCCAGATCCACACAGCTGGGGGCCATCTCCTGGCACACAGCGCAAGCCGGGAACGCTCTCGAGTATAGGCACTGGGACTCGGGGCTGCCTGAGGGAGGGGTCGAGACAGGACGGCGGGGGTGAGGGAGTGGACTCTGACCTGGGGCAGCTCCATGACTCTCCCCAAACTCCGTGGGGTTGAGATGGGGGTACACACAGACCCATCCCACCAGGCAGCAATGGGGACTAGTGAGCTATTTGCAATCACAGTGCATTCTGAACAGCATCTGGCACATACACACGCATCTATTTGGGGTGGGTGGTTAATAAACTTGAAGAAATACTTGTGCACGCAGCCTGTACCGAGGGCAATGTCCAGCCTGGACCATCAGGGGCGGCCATGGCTCCAGGTTCACAGTAGAGCAGAAACCCAGCCAGGAGGTGGGGAGCCTGTAACCATGACAACAGCCAGCGGGACAAATGAGCCCCAGGACCCCTTAGGCATCCAAGTGGTGGGGCTCCTGCTGCCATCGCTCCAACCTCCTTCCTTGCTGGCCCCTAGAAGGCCAGGACGGCCCCTCATCGTGGGAAACGCCAGCGGGCCTCCCCTGGCTGCTGACTCACGAACGAGAAATTCTGACACCTTGAACATGCTGCATCTTCCGACCCTTGACACTGCTCCTTTCCTGAGGTCAGGGAGCAGCTATCTGAGATGCCAGGGGTGCTAGGCAGGGGCCTGAACCTGGGGGCGCCCAGGCAGGTTCACAAGGCTTCCTGACACGCAGACTTGTCATCGACACCCACCGTGCCCACAGACGGACAGCCCCACCTGGTCCCCCAGGAGAGTCTCCTCTAGGTACCGCGTCACAGACCAAGTCACCCAACCTGTTGGAACGGGGCATGCACAGATACAAAACCAGAGCCTTAAAAGGGTGTAGCCGACACACAGGTGAGTCAAACAGTGTCAGGCAGTTCCCAACGGGCCTCGGGAGGCAAGGGCCCAGCGCCCGTGGGGAGCCTGGACGGGAGCCAGCACAGCAGACGGAAGGGCGAGTCCCTGCAGGCGGGCGGGCAGAGACAAGGTGTGGGGACCAGCACTGTCACGCCAGAACTGTGGCGTGGCCGACGTGAGACAGAATACTGGTCATATTAATTAGAGTTTACCAATAAGATGGAATATTGTGTAGTCGTTTTTATTACATGTTTTCGGAATATACTTATGACAGGAGAAAACACTCGCGATGCACGGGAAGTGCAGTGGACCGGGCACCACACCCGCGATGCCCGGTCCAATCCTGCTCCTGCGAAGAGAAGCCACAACGCGAACTCCGCCCGGAAGGGCCGGCAGCTCCTGTGCAGCCCGGGCAGCAGCGGCTCCCCTTTGGATGCGAGAATTACCCCCTCCTCCGCCTATTTGTTTAGAATCTGAAAGGCCTCCAGCATTGTTGAAACAAAGTAGCAAAGAGCTGTGTTAAAAGCTTCCCACTATTATTCTGCCCCAAACACCCTCCATCCCTGCTTAGAACCAGCATGTGAGAAAGGGCCCTGGGATGAGGGACCACAGAAAAGGGGACAGAGGACAGGGGGCGCCCACCCGGTGCAGGCAGGGGACAGGCTCTCGGGAGTATCGTCAGGACTGGGAAGGCTCAGAGACAGCACTTCCAGAGGGGCCAGGGAATGTGGACAAGACCAGCGAGGGGCCAGTGGGGGGAGGGCAGGCACCTGAGATGCGGACTGGGGTCCCTCTGCTTTCTCAGGCCCCTGCCGGAGCTGGTGGGACTGAGGAGTGCTGAGGTGCTCAAAGACACCGAGGATGGCACTGTGTCACTTTCTGCCTTCTCCCCAGATGGCACGTGGTCTCCGGTCACTGTAAGCCTGCAGATGCTCCCAGCACTGGCTTTCCTGCTGCCCTGCCGAGGGCCAGGGCTTCCCCCGATGCCTGCACGGGCCCGGTCCCCCTGGCAGCTCTCATGGGAGGTGAGGCAGGAGCCCAAGTAGGTGGAAAGATGGGGGTCCTGCAGCCAAGACTGGGGACTCACAGGTACTAAGAAAAAAATGTCTGGGGAAGCGTAAGAGGCTACATGATAGGAGAGCCACCAGGGCAAGAAATAATGTCCCCAAAGCTTTGGGAACGGACCAGCTGTAACAGGTGGCTGACCCCAACCATTCTGAGAGGATCAGAAATGACTGCAGACCTACATCCTGAACTCTGACGACCGTGGGTCCCAAGCAGGTTCTGGGCACTTCCTGGCCTGTTTGGACTGAGGAGGGGACAGAGCCCCTGCCCGTTTCACGGGGGAGTCACTGAGGCCAGGAGAAGTCGAACAACTTGCCTGAAAACTCGCAGGGCTGGGAGGCGTCAGAACCGGCCGCACTCGGCTCCCCTGGCACCATTTTCCTCCACACAAACCCAGGAGTTACGGTCAAATGCAGACTTCCCTGTCACAGAGTTCTGCCTCCTGTATTTTTTAAAAATATTTCATTTATATACTTTTAGACAGGGGAAAGGAGGGAGAAAGAGAGGGAGAGAAAGATCAACATGTGGTTGCCTCTCACAAGCTCCCTACTGGGGACCTGGCCCGCAACCCAGGCAGGTGCCCTGACTGGGAATCAAACCAGCGACCCTTTGGTTTTCAGGCCGGCACTCAATCCACTGAGCCATACCAGCCAGGGCTGCCTTCTGTATTTTTTTTTAATCTTTACCCAAGGACATTTTTTCTCATTGATTTTAGAGGGAGAAGACAGAAAGAAACACCCATGTGAGGGAAGCATCAGTCGCCTCCCGTGCACCCAGCCCTGGGGAGCAGGAAGGGAAGCTCGAACTAGCGACCCCGGCGTGACCCCCGACTAGAATTGAAACTGCAACCCTTTGGCTCTGGGGGACACTCCAACCCACTGAGCCACTCCAGCCAGGCCTCCTCCTGCACTGTTACAGCAGAAATAAAGGATCCCTGCAGAGATGGACTCACTGGGAGCAAACACCAACTACCAAGAGGGTCGGGGGGAGGCTGACAGGGGGAAGAGCGTGCGGAGCCTTGGTACAAACAGCACCAGCAGGACTGTAGTACCTACCACCTGGCTGTCTGGGCCGTCCAGGAGTGCTCCCAAATTCAGCCAAAACTCCAGCTCTGCCACTCAGCCCCAGGGGAGCACTCACTGCGTTTGAACTTGAACCCAGGATCTGGGAGGCATGAGGTACCCTGCTGGGCCACCCCACACCCACAGCCCCGCCGTAGTCCAAGGCAGGCCCTCACTCTCCAGTGCCCGCAGCCCGCAGTCCAGACTGGCAGGAGGGCGTTTGGAAGGGCGTTTGCTCCCCGGGGACCCCCAGGAGTTGTGAAGCAGGCAGCTGCCAGCTCCCCTGGGACTGAGCACAGGGAACATGGCAGGTGCGACCCAGAACAGCATTAATGTTAGTGTCAGCGACCACTGTGGAGGGGCCTTGAGACAGTACTGCTGGTGGCAGGAATGTACACTCGACGGAAGTGGCTACGGCCGCACATGCCAATGCGTCTGCTGAGGTCCTGGAGGGGTGGGACACTGTCTACAATGTGTCACCTGTGAGGAGTCTCTGTATTTGACCCTGCAGCTGCCTGGGAATCTAGGATGATCTCAAAATAAAAGTTTAAAACACGAAACACCACACTGCTCAGCTATTGTAGTGGACATCAAGCTAAAAAGCCCACATTCCCTCTGAGCTAAACAAATCAACAGTTATTCGGAACTCGCACTCATGCCTGTGGGTTTTTCCCCCACACGACTCAGGGGACACATTTGATTGGGGGGTGGGGGGCGGGGCACCGCCCGGCTAAAGAGCAGATGGGTGGGAGCGAGGGCCACAGAATCAGCATTGGGGGGACCGGATTGATCTTACTGAAAATCAGGGGTTCATAAAGAGTCTGTAAGAGTGAGGATGAGAATGAAATCCTGCAACTCACTGCCGCTTCGAAACTCCCACAACCCCCTTCGTCCGCGGATGCCCTGGAAATCCCACACCAGAGGACCCCCTTCTCCAGTAGGGGCAGCCCGGGTATGGAGCCGCGGACTCGTCTCCCTAGACAGCGGGCCAGGGTGCACCGGCCTCAACAGTGCGCTCAGGTGAGGGTCGGAGCCCACCCCCAGGCCGCTCCGCTCCGCCCGGACCTCAGGGAGGGCGCGCAAAGAGAAAGGCGAGAGGGCCGGCTAGCAGGCGGGATTCAGCGAAAGGCCCAAGGGGCCCCTTCTCCAGCACCCCGAACAGCTGCAGCTCTGCCTTTGCCCGCGGGGTTCCCCACCTAGACCCTCACAGACAAAAGCGTCTAGGACGAAGGAGCCGCCCCTGCAAAGTACCGAAGCGCCAGATCCTATCAGCTAGGAACCCAAGCGCACACTGCTGCCCACAAGTTCAGGCACGCTCGGGCCGGGTGCAGGCAGGAGGAGCAGCCGCTGAGGGCGCGCCCTGGGAGGCTGGGCCGGGGGCGCGCCGGGAGACTGGGGTCAGGTCCGGGGGTCCGGGCCCGCTGCCCTTTCCCCCTCGCGGGTTCCGAGGTTCCTCAGCAGCTAAGGAGGCGGCACAGTCAGGGCCTTCCCCCGGCCGGGCCCCCGAAGCTCCCAAACCCTCCGGCGTGCCGGGGAGCCACCCGCTCGTGGAACAAAAGAGCCGCTCCCGCGGAGGGTCCCGAGCCCGCGCGGCCCGAGCCACGGCTCAGCCCTCCGAGAGCCGGGGCTCCCGCTGGATGCATCGGGCTGCGGGCTTTGTGTGTGCGCAGGGGCGGGAAGGGCGGCGGGACCCTGCACAGCGCAGACAGCGTCCGCGCGCCAAAGCAATCGCTTGCGCAGGCCCCCGCACCTCCCTGTGCCCTCCGAGAACCCATTCATTCGCCGGGGTAGCAGACCGCCGCCGGAGCTCACCTTGCTCTTGACTTCCACCGCGCTGCAGCTGTAGAAGCGCAGGGTCTGAGACTTGTGGAAACTCCGGTTCATGGTTCCGGCCCCGCTCAGCCCTGTCTTCGCCCTCGCCCCGCTCTAGGGGCTGCAGACAAACGGTGGGGGCGGCGCCCCCCGCCGCGGCCTCGGCCCCGGCCCCAGCCCGCGCTCCCCGGCCGCGGCGCTGCTAGCACTGCGGCGGCCGGAGCTGGGCTGGCCGCGCGCCTCGGGGACTTTAGCGGCCGCGCGCGGGAGGGGCGGGGGACGCCGGCGCGCGCCACCCCGAGCACAGGTCGTAAATCCCCGCCCCCGCACCCCAAGGACCCGCCCCACGATCCGCCCCTAACCCCGCCCCGCGCCGCAAGGACCCTCCCTCCATCACCAGCCTTGCAACCAAGAACCAGCCCCAGGATGCTCCCCCCAATCCGCGCCCCGCACTCTCAGGGCCCGCCCCATGAGCACCCGCCCCCGACCTCCCGGACCTATTAAACCCTCTCCCAGTGCCCACAACACCCTCCTCCTCCAACCCCCGGTCCGGGCCTCGAGGGCCGGCCCCCAGAACACGAGGGTCTTGTCTTCCGACGGCTGTCCCGGGAGGCTGCGGTTGGCGGAAGGTGCGTGTTTCTGCCCGCGCCATCCCGAGCCCGAGGCTAGAAGCAAAGCCCCACGGCTGGGCGCCTCACTCCCACCTCTGTGCCCGCGCTTTCTCCCTGGAGCTCGCCTCCACTTCCACCGACTTGTCCGGGAAGGGGGCCGCTTTGGGATGATTTTTGCCTCGCTTGCCGGACAGGGAACCACACCTGTCTGTCCTAGCTGCCAGGTGGTGGGTGGTCAGGGGGAAGGTTCTGCAGGCGGCAAACTCCTGCTGCACACCCGGCGCAGCCAGACTGGAGGGAAAGACTTCTGCCAAGGCTCGTGGAAAAGCATGCGCTGACAGAAAGGGCATCGATTGTTACGACCCAGACAAAATCCTCACAAAATATACTGTAAATAATTATAATTTATAAGTTATATAATTATGCGTTTATTGTATATAAACTTATTGTAAAAGAAATGTAGAGAATGTAAAGAAATGAAAGGGAAAAGGTGAAAATCACCAATAGTCCACTATTCAGCATTCAATTTTATTAACTTTTTGGTATATTCCGATGTCTGTTTACCTTCTGCATACACACCTAACGTATTTTACAGCATTGTGAGGATGCAGTTTGGCGGCCTGTTGATGTTGCCTGATGTTACATAAAGAACATTTTCATTAAGTGTTCTTAGAAAATATGGTTTTCAAAAGCTGCATATATGAATACAGCCATAATTTTGGATACAATTCCATTATTGAATATTTAATATGTTTCCAATGATTAGCTTTTATACAGTGCTGTTTCTTGAATTCACTTATTTCTAATTATTTTATTAAAATCAACTCCTAAACACTGAATAGGCCACAGAGAACATCTCTAAACCCTTTAATACAGATTGCCAAATTGTGTTACCTAATATTTGATCTTCATTTAATTTTCACTAAATGAACAGATTTCACTAAATGTGTTCTGTGCAGAATTCAATCACAGAGGCCCAGAATTACAGTCCCTGTCCAAGAGAGAAACACCAGGCTGGCCAGGGGGCCAGACACTCGGGCAGAGTTCTGAAACAAGGCATCTGGCCAGGTAGCTCGGTTGGAGCGTCGTCCGGACACACCAAGGTTGGAGGTCCCATCCCTGGTCAGGGATCACACGAGAAGCAACCAATGATGCATCAATGTCTCCCCAACACCTTCCTCTCTCTGCAAAACCAATAAATATTAAACATATAACAAACATTTAGGGCTGCTCATGCTTTTGGTCTACAGCTACGTGACAGCGGCTCACAGGGGAACGTGAGAACGTGAGAATGAGGGGAGGGTCCGGAGCAGCCTGGACACAGGCCTGAGTCGCACAGGCTTTGCAGGAGCCCCAGGAGCCTCTGGGGATGATGGCGGAGCCACCTGAACACGTTTGGTTCCCAACATTAATGACGGGTTTTGACCAACTCTAGAAACCTGTACTATATATAATATAGTGATGAAGGCCACATTTACCCAAAATGATGTACAAACATACCTCGGAAGTATTGCAGGTTTGGCTCCAGACCACCACAATAAGGCGAGTCTCACAGTAAATCAAGTATTGCAGTGAAGCGAGTCATGTGAGTTGTTTGTTGGTGGAGGGTCTGCCTGGATGTTGATGAAGACGCAGTATCTGCAAAGCACCGCGAGACAGGGAATGTCTTCAACAGCGGAAGCACTTCACCTGGTGTTACTGGGTCTCAAGCTGCCCTTGGTATTCTTATTAGCATCTCTCCTACACCGGACACGTCATCTAGTCTGACATAGGCTTCGACAGGCAGACAAATGTACACAGCACATTCCCAGGAAAATCTGCTCCAAAGATCCTTCACGAACTTAGCAAGAAAGGTATTGTCTGTACAGAGAACTTTTTTGTTCCCCCCCACTTAGGGCATTGGGTTTTTTTTCTTTTTCTTTTTTATTGTTGTTCTACTAGAGTTGTCCCATGTATAGTAAACTTTTTATAAATTAATTTCACTGATAATCTTGGAGTATGCATAAAAATAATGCTTTATTTTTTATGAGGAATAGGACATTCGCATAATTTCAAAGTACCTGTCCACACAGGTATTCATCACAAAGCAAAATGGAGGAATTTCACAGTGCAAACCCTGCCAGACACCGTTTAACTAAGCGATGGACATGAGCGCCAGTCACAGGCCAAGTCACAACCGTGCGCTGCCTGACGGGATGCAGCAAACAGTGCGCCAACAGTTGGAAACACTGTTGGCAGAGCATAACATTACCCAATGTAGCTAGCAGCTCAATTTCTTAAATAAATGAACATCAAGTTTTAAATTAAACACTAACCAATCGGGGCTTCCTAGGGACCCCTCCTGCACCTCGCTGTCCTCATAGGCAGAGGGACCTGGTGGCCTAGGCACACAGACCAGGCAGGAGGGACAGTCTCCATCTTGAGGGTCGTGTGCTCTTCTCCATAGTGCAGGGTGTGCAGCCGAACGACTGAGGTCGAGGTGGACGTCATATGACAGAGCACAGGGACCTGGGGTTGTCCTCAAGAATACACTGCATCTTCCTGTCTAGGAAGATGGTAAACTTTTCTTTCTTTTTTTGCAGTCGCTTTAGAAACCAGCGGGAGAACGCGACACGGATGCCCACCAATCTGTCCTGTGCGGGTCCCAGCAGGTCAGCGTCTCCGAACCGCTCAGAGAGTGGCAAAGACCTGCTCTGTTTCTGGTGCATGGACCGCAAAACGTGTCATTATATTGAGGCCACTTCTTACAAAATTACTCAATCCACCTCCTTCCTGCTATGTCTTTGGTGGCCAAACAGGCAAAAGGTGCAGCAAGAACCTGGTGCAGGGTCTCAGTATGATAGAATAGGGTTAAATGGTTCATATTCAGAACGTCTTAAGTGTTGAGAAATTGGGTTGGGTATTTTGTTTAAATATTACTAAGTCCCTCAGATATTATGGGTAAATAGTTTGATCCTGGAAACAAGTATGTTTCAATTGGACAATATTGTGCTACTCTAAACATATATTTAAGGACTTATTTCCAAGTGGGACTCAAAATGATAAAAACTTTAAATATAGTATTGTCCCCAGATAATCTAACTTTACTATTGAATACATCTCATATTGAGATTACCATGAAAATTTATCATTTTCATTTTTAAAATACTGAGTTGATACTATGTTTAACATTTCTGTAGCAATACATCTATTTTTAGTATCTCAACTTTTACCTTTAGTTGTCAAACCCATTAACACAGAATGTTATATAGAAGACAAAAAATTGGCAAGAAATAGCTGGAATATGCCTAGCAAATAGTATGGTGCTGGAAAATTGTTGGTATATGTTTATTGGGCTACCTTCCAAACCAGTGACATATTGGACAGAGATGTTCACTACCACCACCTGAGAATCAAACAGCGAAATAGTGACCAGAAAACAGCACCAAGAGCACCTGTAGTATCAACCTGCAGTTCTAGTCAGAGTCTCCTGATTTCCTGGTCAGTTACCGAAGAGCACCCACTTAGAACCCAGCAGGCAATAGGCCTTTGTTAGCACCCTCGTCATGTGACTAGAGGGGAGCGCAGTCACAGGCAGGGGCTGAACTTGTGCTTTGCCCACAGCATTGGCTACTGTGCCCCCTTCTTTCCTGGAAGTTGTCTTATTGGTCTACTCATTCACTCTAGTTATTTGAAAGTACTTATGGCCCTGGCTGGTGTGGCTCAGTGGACTGAGTGCCAGCCTGTGAACCAAAGGGTCACCAAGTTTGATTCCCAGTCAGGGCACATGCCTGGGTTACAGGCCAGGTCTCCAGTAGGGGGTGCGTCAGAGGCAACCACACACTGATGTTTCTCTTCCTCTCTCTCTAAAAATAAATAAACATTTTTTAAGCACTTATAAAATCTAGACAAAGTTAGTTTTTAAAATAACCAAAAATTACCTCCCCTGCAAAATGCATAATTTCTCTGAAATTAATTCTCATACATTCCCCGTGGTTTTCAGAAGCCATTCTCCACAGGACGACAGCACATCGTGGACTGAGCTCCTCTGCTGTTTAGGACCAAAGACCCTTTCCTTGTGAGGAGAAAACCTTATCACTGAGTCTGTTGGAAAGCTCCTTCACTGTCAGGAAAAACCATCTTGAGAACAACTATTGAACCCATTAAAGCCTTATTATTATTCACTGTTAGTACTTATTCAATTTTCTCCTTTACTTTTATGTAAATTATTTAACATTGTATTAAAATTCCCATATTGTGGGTTTAAACTGCAAGAAACTAATTTCTGAAAAAAGATATTCATTCCTGGCTACTAATTCTGAATTTGTATTGAAAAGTATAAGCACTCAACCTTAGTTTATGCATAGTAAACATGTCCATATGGTTGCTGAATTTTGGTTTATAATTTAAAATTTTTTTACATACGATACGAACGCTTTATTTCCTGTGGAACGTCCTGCCCAGGGGCCACGTTGTCCATCTAGACACCCAGGATCCAGGTGCCAGCTCAGCGCAGCCTCGGCCCCTTGCTCTGACTCCAGGGCGAGCCTGCTGCCCCTGCGCACAGGGCCTGTCACCACGTGGACGGCGGAGGGTCCGTGCTGTCCCGGAGTGCCACAGGCACCTGCGTGCACTGCCCCCGAAGCCAGTCCTGCCCAGCACCGTGGTGACTCTGGCTAGCTCGATCAGTTACACAGTACTTGGATCCATGACAGCGGCAGCGGTTTGGCGGATTATAATTTAAATATTAACAAAATTTTAAACTTTTATTGGAAAAGCTTCCCTTCTGAAAAGGACTTTATGTACTTTGTTTAAAAATAAACAATCATATTGCTCATGATTTCATGAGTAGGATAAAGTGGTTTGGGAAGCACCTTCTTTCTTTCTTTTTTTATTAAGATTTTATTTTATTTTTATTTTTCCAGAGAGAGGGAGGGAGAGAGGGAGGGAGAGAGAGAGGAAGAGAAGCATCGATGTGCAGGAGAAACAGTGATGATTGCCTCTCTCACACCCCAACTGGGGACCTGACCTGCAGCCCACACACCTGCCCTGACCAGGAATCCAAGCAGAGAACTTCCAGTTTGCAGGCTGGTGCTCAGCCCGCTGAGCCACACTAACCACTGTGGGAAGCATCTTCTTTTAAAGGCTGTAAAAAACGAACCTTAACTACTGTTTGGCAGTATTATATATTTTTTTCTCAAAGTGTGTAAATAGATCATTTGTGTGATTTGCTTGAATGACTAGCATTAGTATATTTGTTTTCAAAGTGGCAATATGGTGGATTTCTGGTGGACGATATGGTGGACAATATGGACCTCTATCAGATACAGCAGATTTTTATTTTAATCTCTCATCAGGCAGCCCTCCTAGAGAGAAGACCTGAGACTGTCATACGGTTTGGCTGTCTCCACGTGCCATTGTCACAGGCCTTGGAGGTCAGCGGTGCAGGTGAACTCAGCTGTGCGTTGTGGCAAACCCGATGATGGGACCTAGACTCAAACTCCTGTTGGTGTGCACACCTTCACTCGACGGCTCCTGCCTCATGGATGCCCGGGGTTAGAATCCGAGAGCACTGCTGGCTGCTGCCGCGAGGTTCCGGTGGCACAGTCACCAGAAGGAAGGAGTTTCCCTGTGTAACTTCTTCACTGTGAAAATGATTTTTAAACTTGTAGTCACTTTTAAGGACTAAATAATTCAAATTACTGAAAATTAGAAAACGTCTCAAGCTGAAATTTAATCGCTGCAGAACAGAAAACCTAAATTCTGGAGGCATCGGTTGGCAGCTGTGCTACGAAGTGAAGCTTCAGAAGTAAGAAGTGTCCATTAGGTGGGTACTCTGACCACCCACGAGACGAGAACTGGTTTGAAAACACTAAAATGACAATAACAGAATAAACTTCAAGTGAAGTTTTTAAAACTAAGTTTTCTGGAAGTAACTCCTACATGGACTTTTTATTCCTTAGTCGATAAAAGGCAGCAGGGCCCTGGCTGGCATAGTTCAGTGGACTGAACGCGTGGGCCTGTGAACCAAAGGCTCGAGGTTCGATTCCCAGTTAGGGCACATGCCTGGGTTGCAGGCCAGTTCCCAGCAGGGGTCACACAAGAGGCAACCGTACATTGATGTTTCTCTCCCTCTCTCCTTCCCTTCCCCTCTAAAGATAAATAAATAAAATCTTTAAAAAAAAAAAAAAAAAAAAGCTCAGCAGCCCTGGCCAAATGGCTCAGTTGGTGGGAGTGTCACCTTGCTCACCAGAAAGGTTTCAAGTTCCACCCCAGTTGCATGCGGGAGGCAACCAATGGATGTCTTCAGGCGCTCTCCCCCACCCCCTCCCATCCTCTAAAATCAGTGAAAACTTATCCTCGGTGAGGATTTAAAGAGAAAAGGCAGCAACGCGGGGGAAGCACCCCTCAAGCACCTGAGAAGCAAAACCGCACGTGTTCTGCTGCTGTGCGAACCCGAGCCCAACCAAAGGGTCCCTGTCACTCTTCACTGCACCCGCAATGCGCTCACATGACACCTGGCACCTGGCACTGTGGGCGGTTCTTGTCCACGTTGATATTGGAAAGGGCGTCTTGGGTCATTCCTGGCTACTAATTCTGAATTTGTACCATGGCACTGAAGAGCCACGTAGGAGTCTAGGCAGCAGGGTCTCAGACACAGCACTGCATTGTCAAGTGACATGTCACCTTGGGGAGGAAACTGACCTTTGAGTAGGGTACCAACTTGCCCCTGCTCGCCTGGATGTTTCCAGTCTGGGTGCTGAAAGTCCCGAAAAATCCAAGTCCCGAGCAAACTGGCGCAGTCAGCCACTTGACCTCTGAATCCATTTCATCTGTACAGTGCAGACAAAATAACACCTGCGTCACAGAACCGCTGAGGTTGAGTGGGTAACACACGTGCCGAGGTGCCATCTTCTCAATGAAGCCAGACCTCCCGTTGCTGGCCCACTTCTCTCCACCCCCAGACCAGGGCCAAACTGGGCCTCTGGGTCTGCGTGTGTGGAGTGGAACACAACCACCCACTTTGTGGTGAAACGCATGCCACCCTTGCCACAGTGCAGAGAACACAGCAAGCCCTGAGTGTGACATTACTACCAGTGAAGTATTTGGTTTATTTCCTAGCAATGGTTGGTAAATGTTGATTCTTTACTAGGAAGGCCTAAACCCTGTGGTAAAATGGTTAAAGTTTTGGGGCTGATTTGTTTCTTTTTTGGGGGCAGGGTCAAGTTGCTTTGCTCAGTGGAGCGCAGGTGCATCGTGGGATGATAGGGGCCACTGGAAAAGAGTACAGTGGGCACCCCTCCCAGGTCACGGCGGGGCCTGCTTGTAGGAGCAAGGCCACACTGACCTCAGAGGACACCCACCCACCCGGGGGGGACCCGGGCCGGTTGCTGTCTCTGAAAGGGGGTCTCGAGTGTCCACTACAGCACAGTACGACTTGTCAAGACCCTCAGTGGGAGCTTCATAAAAAGCAAGAAGCACATGGACCCCAAGTCCAGTGTCCAGTGCCCCAGGCAGATAGCAGGTCTTAGCTGAGCAGCAGCCCTTTCCTGGTAACTTCGAGGCCCAGCAATTCCCAGAGGGGGCGCCCTGAAGCACCTCTGAGCCCAAAATACTGACATCGGGCTGTGGTTGGAGCCCAGCATGGTGCCACAGCAGCTGGGCAGAGCCTGCGTTGCCGTGTCATTGGCTGGCAGATGGACGCTTGTCTTCTGGAGGCTTCTTCACCGACTGCTTTGGCCCCGCTCGGGGATGGAGGTGGAGGATAAGGAAGAGTGGTCTGGCGGAGTTTCCCCGGCCCAGGACCCTGGCCCAGTCCGTCAGCACTGGCACTATCAGCTCCAGGCCCGGGGCACCACATCCTGGCTGGCTCCAGTGCCCAGGCTGTGAGCAAGTGCGCCCAGCACCTGCTGGTCCCCGTGCCGTCATCTGCTGCCCAGGTTTGCACCGTGGCCCACGCAACAGAGAAGCTGAGGGCGCGCACCCTACAGCTATGCGGGAGTCACGCTGTTTTTGTCTAGGCCAGCTCACTTATTCACTGATAATGAGGGAACTGATGTGGCTTTTATTTAATAAAAACATTGTTAAATGCCACTTAATTCAGAGAAGCTAAAATAGTATATGCTATATTTTAACTGAAGACTTCAAGTATATATTTTAAAAACTTATGCTACGAACATATTTTACACAATTTTTTATAACCATCAAAAAAAGTCTCCTTCTCTTCTCAATTTCTGATCACCTTCTAAGAGTCTTAATAGCCCCCCCCCCCCCCACCTATTACTCTGTAGTGCAGTTTTCTACTTTTAAATGGTAAGTACGGGGTGGGCAAAAGTAGGGTCACCGTTGAGACATTCTTGAGTTGGCAAAGCTGTTGGGACCGCCTCCCCCTGCCTGGCCGCCCTGTCCAGCCACACTGGGGCCTGCGTCTGCCCTGCACACTCGTCTTCTCACGTCTGCAGGAACTCCTACGGCGCTTTCAGAAGGTCAGCTTCTACCACATTTTGCCTAACTGTGGGAACCTGAAAAATGGCTCAATACCCAACGGCTAGCCTAACAAGAGACTCAGCACCCTAAGTGAACCACAGCTGACATACAATTCCGAGTCAGCATTTCTCTGTCACAGCAATTCCTGTCAGGACTGATTCTGCCCCCGGGGGCACTTGGAAATGACAATTTTGATTGTCAGGACGAGGCAGAGGCAGGGACACTGCTGCTGTCCTGCAATGCACAGGACAGTCACCCCAATGAGTGGTCTGACCCAAAATGCCAACAGAAAGCCTGGTACACACAACTACAGCAAGGCCGGACAAACCAGGAGACCGCAGCTGGCCATCGACTCCTCCCAACCTGGCCCACCCCCACCAGCCCAGCCCCCATGCAGGCGACCCCTCCTAGTAAGGACATGGAAACGTCAGGAAGGTCCAGCTGCATCTCTCTGGTGAACCCAGTAACTGACTAGCCTCTTGGGTTATACTGGCTCGTTTTCACAACGACAAGGCGCGTGTGTGTTTTTTAAGAAAATACATGTGGTGCCTATTTCCATGCTGACGTCACTCCCACAAGTCACAGTGACATCTTAATGATTACAAGAGTTAAACCATTCTATTTGTTGTGGTGTAACAAATTTTAATTCAAAATAGACACTCTGAAAACAATAGGTAAAAAAAAAAAATAAACTTCAACAACCTCTTTTTGAATTTACAAGAGCACACCAATAATCACAGACCAGTTGCACAACTGCCTCAAAAAATGCACACTATAGCAATTACATGCAAGTATTATATTTTAAATCCATACAGTATCATTACCTTATCTCCCAGAGACTCATATCCTCTGAACATACCGGACAGGTGCCTCTACTGTGTGTCACCAGCAGTAAATATGACTTAAGGTCTCACCTGGCTGGTCTCCATTACTGGTTCTGGTGCTTTAAGTTCTTTTACGTTGTGTGATTATGTGAAAAAAAAACAAAAACAAAAACAAAAACAAAAACCCCGAGGTCTAATTGTCCAGAGAACAGTGACACAATGGAGTTCCTTAGCTATGCCCAGCCCATCAGCCAGCAGCCAGGGTGCTCTGTAGAGCACCCATTTCCCCAGGACGGACATGCTGACTTCTAGGAAACTGTCAAAAAATAATGGCCCAACCACAGAACTTAGCTCTGGGTCTACTGGTTTCCCCTTATCCCTGAAAACCTATGTTTACATGTCAGTATCCACACTCAGGGGTAAAAACTTTATTCCTGAGTAACATGGTCTTTGTCCTCCCCTTCCATGGTTTAAGAGTAGCTAGGTTAGTAGAAGAATTTGTGTATTTTCAGTGTTTAATCTAAAGGCACTAAAGATTTATTGTCTCACCTTGAATGAAAAAATGACTCATCACCATATCAAAAAGAGGGTTAGTGTACACTGAAAAGTATTCCTGCATCTACAGAATTACTTTATTTGTAAAATAACTCTTGGCATATGAGCTAAAATACCAGACTTCAGGTATTTATTTTCTAACCAATGAAAATATTTGGTTCTCTATGAATTATGATCAAAAATGGCTAAGATGAACCTGAAAAAATGTGAATGAAAACCATAACCTAATAAGTAAGTATCTTACAAAGAAGCAATCGGCGGAGTGAAGGCCATGCACCCTCAGGAGCCGCACACGTCATGGGGTCTAAGCTCACATCACTGAACATTTACTGCATCACTTGCAGCTACACGTGAGGCCAAGGGAGATCAAAGCTTTAATCTGCAGGTAATTAAGTATTCTGAAACAAGCTGTAATTTCCTTAAATGAAAACACCAACATGTGTAGATTTCAGTTTTTAACGTGCGGTCCTGACACTACCAGGAAAGCAAGGCGTGCATGGAATATCGAGAGATTTAATTGACTCGACAGAGAAAAAAAACTAAAAGTAACTGTGACAAAACCCAACTGCAGGGAATAGTAACTTTGAAAGAACTATCACTTCTTCATACAGAAGTCTTGCTGAGCACCTGAAATACATCTAAAGAGCAGCATAAAGACCACTGAAATTGATTAGTTCAATATACAGTGAAGAAAATAACATTTTTAAAAATCTCAATTGAAAAAACTACTTTCCTACTTTTTTTACACATTTTGTGGTTCATACTCAAAGTTCAATCTGTGTTTAACATTTTTAAGTTCAGACATATCAAAGCCTAAAAGGACAGAAGGCTTGTGACTTTTTATTGCTTTCATGCAAATATATCTTCTTTTACCAAAAAATGAAGCTACATCAATTTTCCACACCCACAAGAGTGAGGACAGCAGCTCTATTTCCTTTTTACTAGGGTATGGTCTCTTGTGGAAATAATCTTTAAGAAATTGCTTTTTCTCTTCATATGAACGGTCTTCATACTTTTTGGGATTTAATGCTAAAATCTGAAGAGCGTCCTCATTAACAACAAGTGGTCCCTCCGTCCTGCTCTCATTCCTTTGTCGTTTAAAAGGCACGACACTCGTTACCTTCTCTAGAGCCGGGGCCGCTTCAGTGTTTATGACCAGAGACCGCTGTTCTCCTTCCCGCCCGTCTTCAGCCCCAGAATGGCCCTCGGGCAGCTTCCTCTTCACAGGGAAGCTGGAGTCGTGCACCACCTCGCCATTGACCAGCAGCAGCTCACTGTTCTGGATGAGGTCCGGCTGGACCTGCAGGTCTGAGCTGCTGTCCTTCGGGGCACTCCTGCAGCGCAGCAGGTGGATGGCAATGGCCGCCAGCGTCATGTTCCCAGTGTAAACCCCACAGCAGTGGATGCATTTGAAAGCTGGAGACTTCAGAATCGTGTGGACTGTGGGGGTGATGTGGTGCCTGTCCTTCAAGTGCAGCTCATACGTCTCGGTTGTCAGAAAGGTGCCAAAGCAAAAAGGGCAGGTCAACACCTGTTTGCTGGGGCCCCCGGGCACACCCTCCGTCTGCGGCCTCACCTTAATGTACACAGGAACGAGCGACTTGGAGTGTATCCCAGCCAGGACTGCCAAGTAGACCTCCCGCTCCCCCAGCTCTTCCTTTGGCAACACGGTAATGAAATCGAGGTGGGGAAAGAGCAGGTTGCCATTGGCATCGATGTCCAGCTGGAAACCTTTGTTACTGTAATCCACAGGTAACTTCTTCTTCCCCAGGTGCGTGGTCCTGCTGTGCTCTGCGAGGCCCTTGATGTCGTGGAATGTGCGTGGACAGAAGAGGCAGCCCAGGCCGTGCATCAGCAGGTGGTGCATGAGCTCCTCCTCTGAGACCATGCATTTACAGGACAGGCACCGGACCGTCTTCTCCCTCATCCACTTTAAAAATGGTGCGCATGCAGCCAGCTTTTCTGGCTCCAGTTTCTCAACAGCTCTGGACTCACTGTGCTTATGAGCCACCTCCATGTGCACCTGGTAGACATTCGATGGGAAGAGCTCGTTGCAGACTGGGCAGGTCTTCCACTGCTTCGCCGGTTTGAGCCCCGGGCTCGCCTCTGCCACAGAGGACGAGGGCTGCAGGAACACATTCGGAGCCGCACTCACCACCACTGGTGGGGAGGGCATGCCGGCCACGGGACTGGCCATCTGCGTGGCTGCACCCGACTGCAGGAGCTGGATGGGCACCTGGGGTGGGGTGACACCTGCGACGCCTCCAGGGGGCACAGGCAGAGTGACAGATACTGGGGCAAGTGTGTATGTGGGAATCCCATTCACCTGCTTCCCCGTAGGTATCAGCTGCCTGAGAATGGAGCCTGACGTCAGGAAGGCTGTGTTCTGTGAAACGCCAGGTCTCACTGGCTGGCTCGCGGGCAGGATGTTGGTGTTCACAGACTGACTGAGCTGCAGGACCCCAGGCCTCCCTGGCTGGCTCACTGGAAGAACCCCTGACACAACTGGCTGGCTGAGATGCAGCACACCGGAATTCACACCCTGACTGCCCGGGAGAAGGCTCGACGAGACTGTCTGGTTGGGAGAGAGGAGCCCAGGTGGGACCACCTGGCCTGCGGGGAGAACCCGCAGCGGGACCGTCTGGCTAGGAGGGAGCGGCCGTGGTGGCACCGTCAGCCCAGGGGGAAGAACACCCGACGGAGCCGTCTGGCCGATGGGGAGAACCCCAGATTGGACCATCTGGCCAGCAGGGAGCACCCCAGAAGTTGCTGTCTGCCCTGAAGGGATAACTCCAGCAGGGGTCATCTGGCCTGCAGGAAGTACACCCGATGGGACAGTCCGACTCACAGAAATCACTCCTGGTGAGACCGCCTGAAGAACGCCGGGAGTGACAGACGGGCTGACAGGAAGGACAGCTGACCCAACGGGCCTGTTTACCGAAAGAACTCCAGACCCAACTGGTCTGTTTACGGACCCGACAGGCCGGCTGAGGGGTAACACGCCTGGGCGGATGGTCTGGTTCATGGGCAGGACGCCAGTTCCAATGGACTTGACAGGCCCCACTGGCCGACTCAGGGGCAGCACAGGAGGGTTTGCTGGCTGGTGAAGCGGGACTCCAGGAGATAGGAAGACAGGCTGCGGCGGCGCAGGCGGCAGAGTAAGGCTGTTCTGGCCCCCGGGCAGGGGACTGGAGACCAGAGTCACGTGGGACTGGACAGCGGAGGGCGGAGAACGGGTGAGGCTTCCAGAAACACCCGAGGTCACTGTCTCTGGCTGGACCGTGCCCTGAACTGGCTGGACAGCGGTCTGGCTCTGACTGCTTGGTGGCAAGGTGAGATGGAAACAAGGGGACGTGGCGGGGACACCCAGAGCGCTGCTGCTCGGGGGAATGGCCAAGTGCGCCACTGGTTTGGGAGCAATGTGCATTTGCTTCAACAGTCCAGTCTTCTTGATGTGCTCTGAAATCACGGACCTAAGCTTATTCTCTAAATCCCTGTGTGTATCTGATGTCAAAATATGATACATTAATGCATCCTGGCTGCTGGCGTTGGCATTGCATTTTTTACAGTAATACTTGTCAGAGGGTGGCATCTTCTCCGTAGAAGGGGAGTCATCAGTCCTGGGTTGCTCACTCACTTCCTCTGTTCGCAGGCCGAAGTAGGAATTAATCAGATAGTGAAAGTGGGCTACCAGCACATGTTTCTTCATGCTGTAGTACAAAGTGTTGGAGAAGTTACACTTCAAACACGTAAAGCTGATGACATCACTCCTAGACGACTTAGTCTCACCTAAGATGTTCACCGTGTAGCTCTGGACTTTCCGAACAGGCGCATGGAACATTCTGAAATGCCTTCCCACCACCTTGGGCTGGGAGGAAAATACACAGTTTGGGCAAGGGATCACCAGCTCTTGGTCAATTTCATCTTCATGGTAGCGATGTAAATGATTTTTGAATGAAGTAAGCACTTTTGTAGAGTATTTACAGAGGCCACAACAGTATGGCTTTGTTCGGTATCTCTGTTAAAAGAAAAAGTCGAGCATCCTTTAATAAAGCTACGCGGTGCTAGATGCACTGCAGACAGTTCACAAGCACATGACTTCTTCTCTTGTGCTGTGCTAGATAACTAACACTGTCACCTCTCAGGGAACAATGTGAGTTTTAAGCCAGGGCAAGCTTTTTCTTAAAGGGCCAGAGAGTAATTATTTTAGGCTTTTGGGGCCATACAGCAGCTTCAGCAGCAACCACTCAGCACTGGCTGGTAAGACAAATGAACGAACAAATCACATGAACACCTGTAAGCATGGCTTTGTGTCAATAAAACTGCTCATTCACATTTTTATGATTTCCCTGTACAGAACAGTATTCTTTCCCATTTTTTCCTTCTCAAACATTTAAAAACTTAGTAACTCTTCTTAGCTTCTAATCCTTACAAAAACACACAACATGATCCATTTCCAAACCACCCACTAAAACCACAAATCTCTTTCCTTTGTCCTATATTTCAAACTAACTGCATCAATGAAAATCAACTCAGTTCTCTGAAAAGATATAGTTACTTTCTCTTCTTCCCATCCTATTTTTCTTATTTTTACTCCATACTCTAAAACTTCCAGAATTTACCCAGGTAGCCTGAGTTGCAAACTGTGACCCCACCACAACTGCCCCCCCACCCGTTTCTAGTCCTGGGGAGGCTGGGAGCCTGGAGGATCAAGCTCGGCAGGCGTGAGGACCCAGGAAACCGTGCGGCACACTGTGCACGTGTCCTCAGCCAGGTCTCGCGAGGGCTCAGGCCACAAAAGACAGTGCTGACAAAGATGGAATCTCCCTTTGAGGCCCATGCGGGGGAATTCGACGAGCTCAGGCATGAGAACAGGCTCTGAGCCCCCTGGCCAGGACGGGAGGCCACACAGGCACTCGCTCATCCTTGCAGCTGTTCCAGGAGGGGCCCTCAGGCCTCTGCAGCCTCCAGACCCCAGAGCCGTGGACCACGAAAGCCCTGGACCTGGTGCGACCTGGACAGACTGATGCTTATTCCGAGGCCGCACTGTGGGCTGTGTGGATGTCATCCCCCATGGGGATGGGGAGCCGGCTCCCTGCTACACAGTGTCCCCAGGTCAGCAACCCCCCGCAGACCTGAGCCGTCCCCCTTGCCGAGTCCCTTCCTCACCACACACAGCGCCCCCGTCTGTGGCTGTCACCCTGTCTCACTCCTGCTCTTCATCGTCCTGGGACCTGAACCACAGAGACCACCCAGACACCCTCAGTGACACATCCCGCCTCCTCCGCGGTCAGCAGCCCCGAGTTCTGGCATTTCTGGGAGAACTGACCATAAACCCAGGGCCACAGCCAACCACACACTAAAATCTCCATTTCTCAAACATTCTGAGACTCCTTTTTCATACTTCAGTGTCTCCAAAATCTGGGAACACTTTACAACTGATGGCTCAGTGGCTCACAGTTTAAGTGAAGTATGACTTTAGTTTTATCACAGGTTCACCAGAAAATAGTGTCTTATATCAATGAAACACTATATTGAAAAACAAGACACTCAGCAAAAACTACACTCAATGAAAAAGCCAACAGAACTCACTGACAACTGCATATCATCATCTTTTAGTATGGAACAGATCACTCAACTGGCAGAAGATGTCTTAAATACAATCCTTTTATTAAATAAAAGGAAAAAACAATAAACAACTTCATCAAGGTCAGACGGCTTCGTTCTGTGAGAGCCACAGGCTGGGGGACAGCAGTTGCCGCCACGCACCCCCTCCACCCTCAGAACGGAGTCACCCTCACGCCCAGCTTTGGCGGAAACACGAAAACTGAATGCAAAGATACATACCATTTTCTTTCCAGAAGGTTCCCAGAGAGAAATGTCTCCCCATGATGTGTTATAAAAGTACTTCTCTCCTGGGTCAAAGCCTTTAAGGTCCTTTTTGAAAAAGGGAAAAAGGAGAGAAATCATTATGGAATTTCAGCAGATAAAGAAACAGTCGTTAGAACCCGAAGGGACTCCTTGCTCCCTGAGGACTCTACGCAGGGAAAGTTAAACGAAAGTGCAGCCCACCAGCAAACTGTGACACAGCGCCTGTTAAGTGTGAGACTGAGGAAAAGGTTGAAAGAACCCAAGTTAAAATTACAGTTTCACAGGAAATAAGCAGATGGCACTCCTCACCAGTAGTTTCTCGGAGAGAGAAGGCCCTAGCCTGCGCTGCCCCCATCAGCAGTGAGGAATGCCGGACGCTGGGGTGTGCAGGGGGAGCTGCATGTGCACACAAACCAGGACACCAGGCGTCAGCCACAGGGAGGCCCCATGGGCCAGGGTATGGTGCTTGTGACAGCGCAGGTGCCGAGACGGAAGGGGATGGCATCACTGAGAACCCAGAAACCAGATGCGGCCTGGCCCAGACTGAGTCCTGGCTCAACAAACCAAGTGTAAAAGACATTTGGGGGAAACTGGAGAAATCTGGATATAAACTGGGTAATAAGTAAGACAGAGTTAATAACACAGAAAGCGAAGCGCAATCAATGCAAGATCAAGGTGAAGAGACCACGCACAGAGACAAGGGTCAACACTCAGGTGTCAGTACTGGTGACCTCTGCGAGTTGGAAGTGTAGTGTTTAAAATTCCACTTTCTGAAGAAATAATTACTTGCAGTTATTTCTCTTTCACAGTTTGCATTTCTGTTTTTATAATAAGGTCTTTTTAATTTATTAAAAATACTAGTTAAACAGAAAAAGACGGTTAATGTGATTGCTGTCTCTGCATACACCTGTGCTAACCCACTGCTCACTGAGGCAGTTCAGAACCAGAGCACAGCACACACGGTGACAAGGATGCAGACTGGGAACACATGCTGTGCAGCTGTCCCACACCGCAGGGAGGCGAGAGGGGGAGGCAGCGCCAAGGTGGGAAGAGGCAGAGCACGTGCTGCGAGGCTCGCACATCAGCAAGCAGCACGCCATCAGAATGGCCAATGATAGCATGGGGCTCATAAGCCAGTAATGGAGGTGAAAACGGAATCATAAAAATATGCAATCCAGAAGAAAGCAGGGGAAAAGAGGAACAAAGAACAGATGAGACAAGTAAAACCAAACAGTGAGTTGGGAGACTGGACTAGACTGTCAATAATCACCTTCAGAAACAGGGGCTGGTGAGTCTCCGTGAAGGCCCAGCAAGGCCCTCGGCAGGTCCCCGCAGCAGTGTGGGCTCTGAGCCCGTGACTTGACCCCATGACCTGACCCCGCCATCGCACACAGGGCAGCAGGGACAACATACGGGCCCCAGCTGTGCTCTGGAAGGTGTGCGGACAGAGCGCCAGATGTGGCCCCTGCTCTGGGCCACAGTTTGCCTAAACCAGGTTGAAGTTCTGAAATTAAGAGGCACAGACTATCAGACTGGGTATAACAGGACCCAGTTACACAGTGTCAACAAAATTCTCACCATAAGCCCTGGCTGGTGTAGCTCAGTGGACTGAGTGCAGGCCTGCGAACCAAAGGGTCGCAGTTTGATTCCCAGTCAGGGCACACGCCTGAGTTGCAGGCCAGTTCCCAGCAGGAGACGCATGAGAGGCAACCATACATTGATATTTCTCTCCCTCTCTCCTTCCCTTCCCCTCTAAAAAAGATAAATAAATAAAATCTTTTAAAAAAATTCTCACCATAAATATAGAGACACCCCACACCCAGAAAGAACCCCCAGTATCTTCCCTACTTCTCCACTGACCCCATTTGTGTTTCTTATTCCAACCCAGGGCTGCACTCCTCTGCCTCCGGACGACTGTGGAACAGAGTCGCCATCTGCGGAGCGGGCGCAGCCAGCCGGGGTGACCTCACAGCAGAAAGGGGCAGGACTGATGGCGCCGTAGGTCTGGTGCACTCACATATGCCACATACACTCCTAGCAGCAGTGCTACGAAGAAACTCCTTGTCATGTTTCACATGGGGACTCTCAGCAAAATAACAAATGTAAGTGAAAACATGTTAAGAGCAAATTTCACACGACTGCCATGTAGCATTAAAACAGAATTCAGCAGAAGCCCATGTGCTCCATGCCTCGGCTTCCTGGTGCTCAGAGCTGAGCTGAGCAGAACGCGTGGAGAGAAGGGCTCTCAACCTCCAGCTGCGCATTAAGATCAAAATTACCTGGGAACTGAGCAAAGAAAAAAAGTAAAATCAAACAAACCAAAAGTTGCTTATTTGAAAAAATTAACAAAATTTACAAATGTTTAACTACACTGAGAGAGAAAAGAGAGAAGATAAAAATTATTAAAATCAGAAATGTAAGTGGGGGCATTACAACTGAGCTCAGAGAAGTAAAAAGGTTAGATGAGAATAAATACTATCAACGACTGTATGCACACAGATAAAGTAAATGAACTGGAAAGAGTCCCAGAAACACACAGAATTACCTAAACTGATTCAAGAAGAAACAAAAAATTTCAAAAGACAACTAACAAGTAGAGATTAAAACAGTAATCAAAAAAGTCAAACAAGGAAATGTCTAGGGCCCTGATATCAGAGCCAAATACAGACACTGCCAGAAAAGAAAATTACAAAGTCTTCATAAATAAAGATGAAAAACCCTCACCAAAATCCTAGCAAACACAACCCTGCAGTATATGAAAAAAGACTGTGTACTATATCCAAGTGGGACTTATACCAAAAACACCAGGGCGGAGTGCTCAGCATGAGAAAATCTACCAGTGCGACACCACACGCCACCAGGAGAGGAGGGAGAAAACCACACAATCGTCTTCGCCGACACAGAGCAGGCCTCTGACAGGGTCCAGCTTCCTCCCAGGACAAAGTGTATTCAGGGACTCCCTCAGCAAGACACACGGCATTTTACCAAAGCCATCCTGCTCCATGGTGACAGACTGAAGGCTTCCCCTAAGATCGGGACGAAGACAAGGGTGCTGGCTTTCACCACTGTTCGTCAATAGTGCTGCACTCAAGTTCTAGCCAGAGCAATTAGGTCAGAAAAAGAAATAAAAGACATCCAAGTTGAAAGAAAAGAAGGAAAACTATTTCTATTCACAAATCACATAATTCTATCTACAGAAAATGTCAAAAATTCCATACACACACACCTACCAGAAGTAATAAGTTCAGTAGACCTGCAGGTTAAAAACCAACACACACAAGTCAGTTGTGTTTCTACAAACCTGCAATAAATGATCTGAAAAGGAGATAAAGAAAACAATTCCATTTTCAATACCATCGAAAATAATCTGCCTAAGCATAAATTTAACCAAGGAGGTGAAAGTCGAGGACACTGAAAATGCTACCTGATTAACCGAAGACATTTACAACCGAAATAAAAGAAAGGCGCAGAGAAGACCACGGGCAGGTGCCCAGCACCGTATCTGCAGGGCTCACCTTCTCCCCAGCAGAGGACTTCCAACAAATCCCCTTCTGAGCTGGTCAGCAGGAGTTTCTGTTGCTTGAAAACAAGAAGCTCTGAACGCTATGGCGGATTAAGGGCGATGCGTGCGATGTGGGGAACGCTCTCGCTGTGAAAGTCCGTGGAAAGGTGAGACCCGCACAGTCCCATTTGGACAGGTCCCGTTTGAGAAGATGTGGGAAACACATAACAGCAGCAGCAATGGGGACAGTGGGGCAACCGCGCACGACTCAGTCTTCCCTTCCTCGCTACATTTCTGTGTACACAGCATCTTCTAACTGCTCTGTAACAAACTTTTACAGTGCTCGAGGTTTTTAAAATTTAGTAAATATAGAACCAACTACAAATTAATTAAAACAAAAAATTTCCCGCAAAAAAATTAGCAACATTTAACCCAGCAGTCAGTCTAACTAATGATATTTGTAAGCTGTTCAGATCTCTTAACCCGCCCGCCGTTTGAGGTGTGCGTCCATCTACTCTCGGAAGAAAAAGTCAAGTCTTGAGCAAATTACATGAGCAAACCCACCAGGCTGACTAAGGAAGCAAAAGTGAGTGAAGACTATTCAGTTCTATACCAATGTTTAAAAAAGGACTCCAGGATGAAAATTTCCATTGAAATGGTTACTGATGTTTTATTTGAAAATAAAACAAAACCAATTTTGTAACAGAATTTCATTTAAAAACCGAGGTCAGCCCTGACCAGTGTGGCTCAGTTGGTTGAGTATGGTCCTGCAAAAGCAAAGGGTCACCAGTTCAATTCCCAGTCAGGGCACAGGCCTGGGTTGTGGGTTTGGTCCTGTTTCTCTCTCACATCGATATCTCTCTTCCTCTCTCTCTAAAAATAAAAAAATAAAATCTTTAAAAATATATATTTCTTTAAAAAATAAATAAAATAAAAATAAAACCAAGTTCACACCGAAGGGCCCAAAGACACATGACAACCAGAAGCATCACCTGACCCTGGCCTGGGCCCATCACTGTGGAGAACAAGGTGCTCTAAGCGATTAGACCAGACACAGGTATCTTACCAAAGTCAAATTCACTTAGCTTGGTAATCATCCTGTGATGAGACTATTCTTCTACTTTTCTAAAAAGATTTTATTTATTTACTTTTAGAGAGAGGTGGAGGGAGGGAGAAAGAGAGAGAGAGAAACATCAATGTGTGGTTGCCCCTTGTGCACCCCCTGCAAGCCAGGCATGTGCCCTCCCTGGGAATTGAACTAGCCATCCTTTGGTTCGCAGGCTGGCACTCAATCTCCTGAGCCACACCAGCCAAGGCAAGAGTCTACAATTATTCTTAGGAAATACACTCAAAGCATTTAGGTGGAGGGGTCATGAGATGTGCAACTGACTCTCAAGTGCCTCAGGGCCAACAGCACACAAACACACACATCCAGCACAAGCAAAGGAATGAGCTGTCAGAACATGTGGGATTAAATGTTAACGAGCGTTAAATCCAGGTAAAGGGTAGTGAGTATTCCTTGTACATTTTTATTACTGTAAGATTTCTGTAAGTTTAAATTATTTCCAAATGGAACAATTAAAAAAAGAAACCTTGATCAACTTGTTCTGGTTTGATGGAGGTCAGTCAGCTGGGCCTGGCCCTCTACCCTAAGTTCCTGGGTAGGAACTTCTCTCCCTCTCTCCAACGGAAAACCCTACCCATTCTTTCCAACAGTTCCAGCCTCACCCTGCCATCAAGGCTCCAGTGCCTCCAGCCAGACGTGACCTTGCTGAGGGTTTCTCTCTAGCGCTGTTTGAGCTGGTCTCTCAGCCCCTACTGGACGGTCACCTCCCTCCTGGGGCTCAGGGTCTGACTCAGTCTCTCTCCTCAGTCACTGTCCCAGTGAAGACACTGAGGCCCAAAGAGGGACTGCACTGCCAAAGGTTACACCATTTCCCAACAGCTAGGAATGAAATAAAATGTATCTCTTTAACCCCAATTAGTTCAGCAATATTCTCAGTCTGTTCACCAAAGGGAACTATTATACCTTCCAGGTTCACTTCTTTAGTACCTACCACACACAAGGCACATTCTAGGAGTTTCCCATTGATTATTGGTTGAAATTTCCTCAGTCTATACACATATGCTTGTGTTCTTGGCTTGTTTTTACACTCTATGCAAATACTAAATTCATACTTTTTTTTTATTATTAATGGAGTATGGCCTACTATCCACCTTCTCAATCTCATATACAAATAATTACCCTGCTTCCTTCCTCATGGAGTCATAAATATGGCTTACAGACAGGGCTGCAAAAACCTCTGGGAGCTGTGTGATGTGAACACTGCCCCTGGGAAGTCGTGTCTGCCTAAAAGCTTCCACTTCAATATCTCCCTTTATTTCCAAATGAACTTTCAGTCAATCTGTTATTAAAAGTAGTTACTTTCACTGACTCTTTTAAAAATTTTGGTTAAAAAATATACATACATTTGCTAAGCATCTATATGCCAGACATAATTCTGGCCACAGGTAGGAGAGTTGACAAAAACACAGGGAGGTTCCAGTCTCCCTACACTCAGGGTGGGAGATGGAGAAGGAACCTGGCACTTCAGGGCCCTGGGAGCCACGAAGCGAGCAGAGCAGGCAGCGGAGCAGAGCACAGTGGAGAGGCCCCATCGGAGCGGGACGATCTCTCTGGGGTCCTTAGAAATGAACATCTCTCTACCTGCTGACCATTCATGAGAATGGCAGTATCAGACTGCCTTTTTATAAGTAAAATCAATGTGGTTGAAAGTCTGAGATTTGAAAATTGAAGAACTAAACTCTTCCCAGGCCAAAATACTTTGAATCAAATTCTTCACAAGTTTAAAAAAAAAAAACAAAGCAGACATTTCATAACTACTTTAATAGTTATGAATAAAATACATATAGAATTATCAATGGCTATAAGATCACACAACGTGCCTTATTTAACAATTTTTACTTCTTTACTAGACATGCCAACCATGTACTCTGAAGTTCTAAGAAAGGATGTAAAATTGTAAGTGAACACAACTTATCAGTAGTGTAGCTGTGACCTTAATTTTTAAACTTTTGTAAGAATGAATATATTAAATTCACAAGTCAGAAAAAACAACACCCTATTATATCATGTATGCATCCCATTTATTTGTTACTCAATACTGGGGGATTAAGTTAGGGTCTTCTGCTAAAATAACAAATAATTGAACACATTCCCCTCAAAGAGCAAAAACAAACAGACAGTTAACACTTGAACAACATGGGGTTAGGGGTTGGGACCCCTCACCCCAGCCCTCTGCCCACAGCTGAAAACCCACACATAATTTTCAACACCCCAGAAGTGTAGTTGTCCCTGGGCAGCTACAGGGACCCCCATGAATACCAGGATCTGTGGACCTTTAAGTCCCCTCTATGGAATGGCCTAGAACAGTGCACACGGTCAGCCCCCTGGACCTGCGATTTCCAACCACAGGTCGGAACTACTATTTTTGGTCTGCTGTTGGTTGAACCCACAGATATGAAACCCAGGGACGCAGAGGGCCGACAGCACATCTCCTGAAAGAGCCATGTACAGGTGGGCCCGTGCAGCTTCAACCCGTCGCTCACAGGTCAATGGTGTTTTAAAAATAATGACTATTAAAAAACTCTCATAAACGTCACTTTAAAAATTTAAACAACTTAAAATAACCCCAGTATACATCACAGAGACATAAATAAGAAGTAATGACAATCTCCACCTTGAAGAATCCTAGCCATTCTTCCAAAACTCCCAGGTCAACTCTCAGCTCCAAAAGACCAGCCGTGGGACCCTGGCAGCTTGAGGGTCCCTGGCTGCTCTCCACCTGACCCTGAGGTCTTCTTACCTGCAGCAGCTCCTTGCAGCTCTCGAGCCCAATGTCCACAAGAATGCTTTTCACCTTTTTTCGTACCTTCCTGATGTTGTCGAGATTTTCCACGGGAATTTGAAACATTTTTGAAATTTTCCTTGGAAGGGAAGAAAACAAAGTGGTAGTACGTAACAGAGTTGGTAAAACACTAAGAAGAAATTGTCAACAAGTCATTCTGGGACAACTCGTTAACCACATGCAAAAGAGTGAAGTCACACTCTTCTTCTACACCATACACAAAAATCCACTCAAAACAGAAGTACACCTCCCACGTAAGAGCTAAAGCTTTAAAACTCACAGAAAAAACATCAGCATAAATCTTCATGACCCTGGATTTGGCAATGGATTCTTAAGATGACACCAAAAAGCATCAAGAACAAAAGAAAAACCAGGTAAGTTGGACTTCTTGAAAATTTTAAACTTTCATGCTTCAAAGGAAACCATGTAAAAAGCCAAAAGAGAATCCACAAAATGAGAGAAATGTTTGCAAATTTTATTCTGATAAGGAACTTATACCTGGGATATAAAGAGAACCCTGATAACTCAAATCACTAAAAGACAAATAACTCAACTTACAAATGGGCAAAGGACCCGAATCCCTACTTCTCCAAAGACAATACACCAATGGCTGTTCAGTACATAGCAGATGCTCAACATTAGCCACGTGGAGATGCACACGGAAACCAGTGTGGTGACACTGCTTCGCACCTACTGGGACAGCTGTAATTCTGAAAAGAGAAGATAACGAGGGTCAGCAAAGACACCGGGACGGTGCCCTCGCAACCCCACCGGCAGCACTGTCAACGGTGCAGCCAGTGGGAGGACGGCCTGGTCATTCCTCAGCAGAACAAACCGGGATGCCCTGAGCCAGCAGCTCCACCAGAGAGTCGCAGCACACCCCCACACAAATGCCTGCACAGGGGCGGGCACAGTGGCAGTGCCCCTAACAGCCAAAATGTAGAAACCACCCGAACACCCACCATGAACGGCTGAGTAAAGTCATGCACTCACACGATGAGTATCATTTGGCCCTGAAAAGAGATAAAGTGCCAACACGTGTCACAGTGTGGAGGAGCCTTGGGGAACATGGTGCTCAGTGGCCGAAGCCAGACACAAAGGCCACGTGTTGTCTGAATCCACTGCCACGTCGTGCCCAGAACAGACAAGGTACACACAGACACAGACGGTCAACGTGGGTTGCCCAGGGCTGAGGAGGGGATGGCTGAGCAGAGGCTGAGGAGACCCAGGAGGTGGTAAGCCAAGGAACCCAGGCTTCCTTTTCTTCTTAGATTTTATTTATTCTTATTTTTTTAGAGGAAAGGGAAGGAGGGAGAAAGAGAGGGAGAGAAACAGCAACACCAGGAACATCAATTGGTTGCCTCCTGCTCACCCCTAACTGGGGACTGAACCTGCAACCCAGGCACCTGCCCCAACCAGGAATCAAACCAGTGACGCTTCCCTCTGAGGACAACGCCCAACCCACTGAGAGCCACATGGGTCAGGGCAGGGGAAGCTTCTTTTTGGATTAAAGACAACGTCCTAAAGCTGACCGTGGGGATGGCAGCACAACCCTGCAAATGTACTAAAAGTGAACTGTATGCTTTAAACAGGTGAACTATATGGTACATAAATTATAGCTCAATAAATCTGCTTTTAAAATATCTGAAAAGGCATGAAATTAAAATAAGCCCTGTGATACTTGACTGGACAAGAAGGCACAGGTGTTGCTGTCCTGCTTGTAACCCCCACCCACAGAAAATAACTGGGTGTGTATATTCCACAGCTCTGCCCTCGGAGCAGTCACACAGCCCAGTAGCGGTGAACACTCATGGGCACAAACCTCAATTTCTAAATACCACTGTCCATGAAAAGGAAACAGGCTCCTTAGAAAAACAGTCGATCTGAAGGCTGGAACACCGAAAAGACAAGCTGCTCCTGAAACACCTTGTGCCAGAAGCTAAGGAAGCTGGTCAAAGAATGGTGAGATGTGTCAGGACTGGACGGAAACCAGTTTGAAGAAGTTCCCACAAGCCAAGTATGAGACAACTGGGGCATTAAACACTCAGAGTAACAGCTTATGCAGTCAGTGGCAGTCAGTTTTCCAAAGATAATGCAATACTATCTCCCACCCCACATGCTCTTCTTCAAACAGGATGTCAACACGCCTTCTAGAAAGTGAGGGCGTCCAAGCCCCTGGAACCTGAACAGCACCTTATGGCTGCCCACCCCCCACCCCGCCCCCCACCCCTGACAAGGTATGGCGGCATCAATGCCATGGGACCCCCAAGGCTAGACCATCAAAATGCCACACTTCTGCCTGTTCTCTGGGGCCCATCACACTTGGAATCCAGACCCCATACTGTGAGGAAGCTCAACGAGCCCTGGAGCCCACGGGCGGATGGTTCACACCAGGCACCAGGGTGCGAGTGCAGATGCCTCAGGAACCCAGCCGGGGTGCCACAGCCCAAGTTTCCAGACCAGGGCCCAGACGCTGGGGACAGGGTTGGGCCATCTAGAGCAGGGAGTCCTGCCTGAACTCCTGACCAAAGAGCTATTGAGCTTTTTAAATACAATGTTTTATCTCACCCAATTTTGGTTTTGTGTGGTATGACATGCACTGATAACTAAAACATAATCCACGAGAATACAAACTTAAGTCCATGGTGCTCTAATTAAATAAATAAAAGCTTGATAAGACATGGGATATTTACATGATATCCAAGCATCTCCCAACAAAATACTTAATAACCAAGGAAAAAAGGATAGCTCACGGAAGTCTGGCAGAGAACCCCAAATGAAGAGAGTGTAAAAAAAACCCCCAACTAGCTTAAAATGGTCAAGTGTCCAGATCATACAACGTAACACTTCTCACAGTAGCCAAAATGTGTAAACAGTCCACAAGTCCATCAAATGGTAAAGGGCTGAACGAGGCGCAGCCACACAACCGGACACAATGTGGCACTGGGAAGAGACTAGGGACTGACACCTGCCGCAGCACGAGCGGGTCTCAGGGACACAATGCTAGGTCAAAGGTGGCGAATGCCTAAGTCCTCAGACTGTCTGATCCCACGGATAGGGGCTATCCAGAGAAGACAAATCCACACACAGAAGACAGATTAGTGGTTGGCCAGGGTAGGAACAGGTACTGACTGCAAATGGACAGGTTTGGGACGAGGCCGGAGGAGTGCTGGGAACGTTCTAGCACTGGACTGTGGTGATGGTTGTACAACTCTGTGAATGTAAAAATCAATGAATTATACACCTAAGAAATCATGGCCCTGGCCAGAGTGGCTCAGTGGACTGAGTGCTGGCTTGAGAACAGAAAGGCCACCAGTTCGATTCTCAGTCGGGGCACATGCCTGGGTTGTGGGCCAGGTTCCCAGTAGGGCGGCGTGTGGGAGGCAACCACATATTGATGTTTCTCTCCTTGATTCTCCCTCCCTTCCCCTCTGTCTAAAAATAAAGTCTTAGAAAAGATCATGGAAGGGAAAACTTAGGAACTGCTCCAGATTGAAAGAAACTAGGTAACTAAATATAGCATGCAATTCTATCTTGATTCTTTTACTGTAAATGTCATTGGAACTGGGAAAACTTTAATGGCAATAATATATTAATTTCCTGCTTTGATGGTTGTGCTCTGGAAGGGTTAGAGTGTTCCCATTTACAAGAAACAGACAATATTTGAAGTAATGTGGCATCGTATTTGGTAACCCACTTTCAAGTAAATCAGGGGCAAAAGTTCTTTGTACTTGCAACTTTCCATAAATCTGCAATTAGTTCAAAAGAAGTTTAAGATTTTATTTATCTTTAGAGGGGAAGGGAAGGAGAAAGGGAGAGAAACATCAATACATGGTTGCCTTCGTGCGTCCCCTGCTGGGAACTGGCCTGCAGGGAACCGGCCTGCAACGCAGGCATGTGCCCTGACTGGGAATCGAACCGTGATTGTCTGGTTCGCAGGCCCATGCTCAACCACTGAGCTACACCAGCCAGGGCCTCAAAAGTTTTTAAATGTATAAACTACAAAAGCTAAAAACAAAATCAGTAGAAATTTGAGTTAAAGAAATGCCAGGTAAAATAACGAATGCCAAGTTTTTATTATCAAAACAATAACTTTTAAAGATTGACAATATTCACTAGTAGTGAAAGTAGAAAAATTGTAATTTATTCACAATTAGAGGGCATCTGGGTGGTGCCCCCCAGGATTTTGAGTGACGGTTTTTGTGGGTAAGCAGTTCCACTTTGGGCCTCTCCTGTGCCCCCTCACCCCAGGAATTCCCAGGGGACCAGTTTATAATTCCCTCCTCACACTCACCTCACTGTGTTGTAATTATCTATTTATATCTATGCCTCTATTGGACTAAGCTTCGGGGGAGGAATCATGTTTTATTTGCATGGCTGGGCATATCACAGAGCATAACACATAGCAAATGTTTATAATAAGAGTGAAAGGTATAAAAATAAAACAGTAAGAATCATGAGACATGGAGAAAGGGCTAAAATGATTGAGGTAAAGGAAGAAAAGTCTGAATGTGTTTGGCAAAAGGCAAATTAAGCCAAAAAGGTAGACTGGAACATAATGGGGGAGGGAGCAGGGAGGGTTAACATGTAAGAAGGAGGGACTGTGGTCAATAATAAAAAAACATGAAGTTTTTGAAAAGCTGATTTGGAATGGGTACATTTTTCAGACAAGTTATCTATGTGGAAAGTATCTTGGGCTCAGGAGGAGGCAGAGGTGTCCAACCTGCAGCCAACAATGGCTATGAATGCGGCCCAACCCAAAATCGTAAATTTACTTAAAACCTTTTTTTTTTTTTGCTCATCAGTTTGCACTAGTGTTTGTGTATTTAATGTGGCCCAAGACAACTCTTCTTCCGGTGTGGTGCACAGGAGCCAAAACGTTGGAGAGGCCTGGAAAAGATCATTTAGTATTGTAGAACTCGGTAAAAGTAATAAAATTATCAAAAGTAAAATACGTTGAATTGGGTTCTAGTCTTCAGCATCATCTGACAGAGGAACTCTCAAGAACCTCATGACGGCTTTCTTAAATAGCTAGGTACAAGGCCACTTTCCAGCCTGAACTGCCTTCTTTGCAGAGTGAGGCCTCTACAAAATCACCTGTTAGATGCTCCCCGCTCAGTCGAACTTGTTTTCATTTCTGCCTTGAAGTTCAACTATTCTCTCTAACCCAAGGAGGCCAAGTTTATTGCTTGCAAATAAGTCTGGCCCTACCTAGCACCTGAACCTATCACAAACAGGGATTGGTGGACTGCCCAGCAGCAGTTTGGGGCCGGGCTGATTTCATAGGCTGGTGCCTGGAGGCTGCAGCACAATGGCTGTCTCAGGAGGAGGAGACTGAAAAGAGGCTGTGATTGGGCAAGTTTCAAACAGGCTCCAGTCACCTGATGTTCAAGGAGCAGGGTCAAGGAACTGTCAGTCTTCTCTCTTAAATTTTGAGAATAGGAAATTTTTGTTCTCAAATTGTATGTGCCCCCATTCCCTCATCATTGTTACTGTGCTTCCCCCCAAAACCAAGCACACTGATCCCTTTTTTAGCAGTTTGCTAACTGTCTAAGGATAACAAAAAACAAAACAGGGAAATTATAAAAGCTTCATAACCTTTCAAGTGCCCTGGTCTAATGGTGTCATTTTGGGGAAAAGCAGCTGAGTTTTACCAGGATTTTTCCATTCTGAAATACTGTAATTTATCTAGTCTAAGACGCAGGTTTCTAATGCCCAGTGGTTTAACCAGGAAAGAAACTGTTCAATGTTTTCACATTTATAGATCTTCCAATGACACTGCTCTCCCTCCATCCTTAGCACTCAGTTAGATCTGTGTGTCTGTAAACAGTGCACATCAGGAAACAGCAGGCCACAGCAGCTGCACTGATCTTTCAACCTCAGTTCACAGCAAACTACCTTTAATTTCTTAGTGCTGGACAGACCTGGAGTTACCAAAAAGTCCCCTGATGGGTACAAGCAAATGTTATTTCCCAAAGGGGCACTTAAAGGGTTTTTCCTTTGTTGTTTTCTAGTATCAGGACCATTTAAGAATATTCCATCATGGAAAAAATACCCTCTAAAATACAGGTGGCAAACACAAGGCCTGTGGGCCGAATCCAGCCCTCCACCATGTTTTATCTGGCCCTCCACCTTGATTCTACCCAGCAGCAGTGCCAAGCTCCTTGTCCCTAGTTAAGGAGCAGTTACATTTATACAGCACTAAAATGACATAAGGCCCTTTGAAGGCAACCTCGAAGCTGATGTGGCCCTGGGTGAAAATGAGTTTGACACCCCTGCTTTAAAACATAAAGTCAATCAGATAATAACACCTTTTACACCACTGAACCTCTTTACAGTTTCTCTGAAATCTCACTTCTAAAAGAATTTCACCTGAGAGGCACCACAGCACCATGAGGGCACCAGCAAGGTTCCGGTGCCACAGTGCCTGGGTGCAGGTCCGCTCTCCAGGTCCTTATTTCTGCAATCTGTGGCAATCCACTTAACCCCAGGCTTTAGCTGCTCGTGACACTGGGACAGACAAGCTACTCCAGGAAAGGGTTGTGAAAATGAATTCATTCATACAAGGAAAGCATTTAGAACATCCACACTGAATCTGCTTATGGGTTTAAATCCAAAAATCTAAATGAAATGTCCCAAGCATTGAAACACGGGACCTAAAAGTTAAAAAAAAAAAACCTTCAAAAAACATCTGTTATTTGTGCCATACATAAAAGCACGATTCAGAAGGTCTTGGCTGGCCTTCCGCAACCTATCGGCCTTCGTGCTTCCTCCTACAAAACATGCTGCCTTAACAGGTGTGTTAACAGAGTGGAGGGAACACAAAATGCTGGGGACCTGGTCCTGCAAAGTGACCACCACCATAAATCCACCAACAGCCTATGCAAATCTGGGTCCAAGTTCAAGAGGTACCCCAAGATCTCTTCGACTACAGATTGGGCACGCCCCCCACTGCCATCATCACTCGGCAGCCCCAACTCCGGCCCCTGACTCGCACAGGTGACCCCTAGTCCCCACCTTCCAGCAGCAGCGCAGACTCCCTCTACGTTGCTCGACTCCAACGGGAGACGAACGCGCAACTTTCACTACCCTCCTGCTTTTACGTGGGGTCATCCCCCACCAGCGCCTTCCAGACCCCGAGCCCGACTCACTGATGAAACCGGCAGACCCTCTCATCATAATTTTAA